GAAAACATTGAAATAAAGTTCATATTTTTCTATGTACTTTTTTTAAATCTAATCTTTTATTTCATAGCATTTAAATGTACACACTTTAACAATTTTGCTAATTGTGCTGTTGCTTAGAAAGGTTGAGAAATACTGGTTTAACAATTCTAAAATTTATCAACAATCATCTTTTTTGGTTTCTATATGATCAATGGAGTTAAGCAATGTCAAGCCTGGTCAGTATCTAGATGACTGACCGCTTGAGAAGACCAGGTGCTGTAAGCATGGACATGCAGGTGGTGTAATGGATAATGGCTTGGAATTAGAAATTGGAGAGCCAAGTTCCAATTCCAGTTGGGAATGTTATATTCACTTATGGGCAAATAGCCTTGAGAAATGTATGAATCCACCCTTCTCCCCCCAGCTATGGATTAATTAGTAAGACTTGTATTACTAAAAGAAAAAAAAGTTCTTACAATCTAAAAATATTTTCTGGCTTTAAATAAACCTGCAAAGGGTTGATATGCCATAGAAAACAAACCAATCAAAAAAGTATTTTTTGAGTGTTGATTGAAAAACTGGACTGCTTGAGAAGAATTTAATAGTTCATTTAAAAAACCAGACAGAAGCCAAAGGCCTTCTTTTTTCTTTTAACTGCATTCATTTAACTAAACCCTTTTTAAACAGAATTATTGCTGACAGAAACAGAAATCAGGATTAAAAGATAAATCAAGTTTTGGTTTTCTGTCAGACAAAGGTGACCCCCGCCCACTTTCCCCTTGAAATTTACAGAAAGATCACACAAATCCAAAATAAAGAGACTGGCAAAAATGGTTAAGATGCACCCCACAACTCACCAAATCAATTCTTTCCTTCCTTTTAAGGTACCCAAAATAGATCATCATCATCATCGGTCCCTTGACTGCTTCGGTCATCAGTGGGGTGGAGGGGACCTAAGGGCAGAAGAAACAAACAACCTCCTCCAGGATGATTTGGTGGTTCACAGGAGCCTCCAAAATTGTCATGACAGTCCACTCTTTGATGTTGTCTGACCACAGCTCTCGTGTTGCTGTCCCCACTTGCATCTGCCTTCAACACTGCCTTGCATGATGGTCTTTCAGAGGCTGTTAAGCCATGTGACAGCCAAACAATGTCATCTTCTGATTGCTTAATAGTGGCAAGAAGAGATTCCTGTTGGCCCATGAGACTTTTGACCTTGCTCTGTACATAGTCACTGGTTTTTGTGCTCCCAGTAGAAGATGATGGAGGAGCATTTGTTCTCGAACGCCTGGGACCTTTCTCCTACCTCAACTCAGAGTGTCCAAGTTTCACACCCATAGAAGAGGAAGGATACGACCAGCATATTACAGTTTATTAAAAGGAGACCTTGACAACAAAAACAATTCTCATGAATAAAGCAGTCACCTAACTCCTTTGCTCTGACACAAAAAGATGAATTTGTATTCAGGATAAGGTGTGCAAGACAACAGGGTTTGGACACAGTGATTAACTAGCTTCGAACTAATGAGCACCTATGGACTAATTACTCTTTAGAGCAGATTTCCAAAACACTAAGGGCAGAAGAAGAAAGAAAATTTAACATAATGGTCGTTGGCTCACATGACTGGAAAAGATCTGAAGTGTGATGAATGGCTAAGAAAGAGAGAGGGAGAGAGAGAGACGTGCAGGGCTTGTAAGAAGCTAATGTCGAGCTAGTCAGTAGAGCCAGAAATGGTTCAGAGATACCTTCACGCCTGGACGAGTCTTCCCTGACGACAACCTGTAAAGTTCCCAAAGACAGTCTTCAACACATTATTCATAACAGCTTCCAAAAATAAAAAATAAAGCCATGATCAAAGGAAAGAAAATTGATTAGGGCAAAAAGAATTTTTAACAATTAAAAAAAAAAAAAAAAAAAAACAGAAATAAAAGGATCATATTTTGTAAGTAGTTCAACAACAGTCAACATGGCAGAGCAAACAGCATATAAGAAACAAGCCATACAAAAAAAAAAAAAAAAAAATAACATGCATCTTAAAATATTCTATAACTGCAAAGACAAAAAAGATTTATTTCAGTTTCCATATTCTTTGTGGAATTGACTCCCAAGAGGATGCTTCCCCAATCACTACAATCTTCACCTGTTCAAGTCTAAGGTTAACCATTATTTTCTGTAAAAAGCTTTCAGATGAACTAGATTCCTTAATTCCGCTAGTTCTAACCTTCATGGCTAAGACCTGTCATGCCACATACATTGTAGTGAACCAGCCTAATTCCCTTCACATTCCATTGGTGAGATGTAAGTTCCACTCAAGCAGCCTCTTCCCCATGAACTGCTTTGTGGAACCGACTTTTCACCTGTTCAAGTCTAGGATTAACCGTTACTCTTCCCCTCCCTCTACCTTCACTCTTTGGCAATGTTTATTGTTTTAAAAAGTGATGATTAGAATAGGAATAAAACCTAAACATATGATGAAAGTTAATTTTTTGTTCTTGAGAACTTACAAAAATATTAAACACTATTTATTTATAAGAATAATTTTATATTTACAACATTCTAAAACTAATGCCATGCAATATTTGTTATTTACCAATTTATAAATAAATAAATATGAAAACAATTTTTCATTCATAAATTTATAAACATTTATTACATTATTCAAATATGTGAACCAACTATAAGAAAATCATTATTATTTACTATTTTACAAAGTTCAAATCAATTGGCAATTATTAGCCAATGTTTTGCCAACTATTTCCATAAACAATATAATGGTGTTTAATATTTTTGTTGTCAATTTCTCAAGAACAAAGAAAATGTTTAAATAGGAATATCAGTATCAAGGCCAAAAAAGTCCTTTTGATATACATTTTTTGCAGGCACAAAGGTTAAAGATTGCCAATAATTTAATAATTAATATGTAGTTAGAGTACAGAACCACTAAAAAAGAAAGAAAAAGTAGAAGCGGTGATGGTAGTCAAGCTTGACAGCAAGAACATGAGGCTCAAGTTCAACATTTGAGATTGTCCTACAGTTTAATAGCCTTGAGCATCAAAGCATTGATTTGTGAATTTGGTGGCATAATAATTGTATGTTCAATCCCTGGGTTTGGTAGTACAGACACAAAATCAGTGTAAACAGAACTTGCAATAACTGATCAATACTAAAAGATGAGATATCCCTAGACAAGGAACAAGAACAAGTGTTCATTTCAAGATTCCTTGAAGGTTATTTGGATCAATATCTAAAAAAAACCAAAGGGCAAAACAGCTAAAACATTGTGAAAACAAGATAAGGACATTAGTCTAAATGTAATTAATGTAAAGCATTGTCTAATTGCTCAACAATTGGGAGTTTACATCTTATTTTCAAAGCTTCTAAGATAGATGGGAAAAGTAAGATCACACTCTCTAAGTAAATGTCATCAAGTGAGAAAAATCATAATTTGTGCTGTTACTTTTATTTTAACATTGATGAAACAAGATGTGACACAAATGTAACCCAACCATGATTAGAACATATGCACAAAAACTCATGTGGGGCCCTAAATAATTTTATCAGGGGGTCAGGTTTTAGGATTGTGTTGAAAGTAAAGTCTAAAAGTAAAATCTTCAAAGTGGCCACCCACTGAGCAAAAGAAAATGGAGTAAATAAATAAATTAAAACTTTCAGAATCAAGTTCAATTTGGTTGGAAATTGTCCTGTTCACAAACTTACAGTTAGAATTGGAAGTTTCAAACCATCCTTTGGTGGGTTGCAATGTTGAGATGGGCAGAGTATAGTGGTAGGAGACAGACAGATTTTTCACTGGCCAAAGGGAATATCTGGTTCATTTGGATATCATGAGAGAAGACAGAAGTAGCAACTTAATTGTCCCAATTACCACCTAGCTATACCCAGTTCCCAACCGGTGCCAAGTGACTTCATGAATAATATACTGAAAATGGAACCCGTTTACATTTCCTGCTGTGGCATTATTTCATCTTTTGTTCTCTTGTGCACATACATCAGGCCTTTCCCAGTTTTTGTGTACACTGTCACAAATGAGAATCAAAACACGGCATGGATTGATTTGTACAGATGGTGTAAGACTGAACAAGGGACCCTTAAGTATGTTTACAATGGAGCCTCCTGTTTAGGGACACTGTCTGATAATCTACAACTTTCTCTCACTTGGGAGATATATCACAGCAGAAATTACACAGTGTCTTCAGATTCTGAAACTAGTTTTAGAAATCGTTCATCCAATGATTTTTTTCTTGAAATTAATTTTTAGCACAAGTTAGTCTTGGCCCAAAGATCATTGTCACTCTAGTCTGTTTCCCAGAAAAGTTTGCCATCCCTTAATCTATAATATGAGCTCTAGAAGAAAATTAAAAATTAAAAGTTAAAATACATACATAATCACTTCCTGTTGTAGAGTAGCACTCTACCAGATGGCCTGGATCATAGCCTTATAAATATCCTACAATTAAGGATTTCAACAGTTGATTAATATGTTGATACCAAGCTAATTAATATTCAGACTGATCTTACTTCGTTTGGCTATACAGCATTTGACCCTCCTGTTTCTTGTAAATTGTCTTGTGAATTGTTTCGTAACTTATTGTTCTGTGTTTTTTGTATGTATCTGTTAACACCGGACACTGGTGCTGAATAAATATATTAAGTGCTCATTCTTCTCTGTGTATCATTCACCTCGACATATTGATATAACACTTCCCTAATGTCAAAGAAATACAATTGATATTTCTATCTACAAAGAAAACAAATGCAATCAATAAAACTACATGAGTGAAATAGTTTTCCAGCATGTCATTATTGAAAAGTGTCATGTGGAGGTGGGGGAGCATTCTTTTTTCCCCCCTTGACATTAGGAGTAGGGAATATAGAGTGAACAAGATTCATAAACCAGTAGAAGGGATTGAACCCAAAACTGTGAATGTGTCAAGCTTTTGTAAACAACATCTACATAAAATGCTTATATCATGCAACAAAACAAATGATGGTAATTACTTACTGAGTAATGATTAAATTGAGATTTTCCTTGAATTTTCTGTATTCTGGTTCTTCAAAAGGCTAAAAATAAAAAAAATGAATGTAACTGAAGTGTGTAAAGTTTTCTAAAATTTATGCACTTTAGACCAAGGATTCTCAAAATGAGCAAGTGGGCCTGAGAAATTTTTAAAATGGGCCAATAGTTAGCCCAATAAGTAGGCTTTGAAATTTTTTTTTTTCTTTCACTAGCATAAAATTATAAAAATACAAACAGCTTCATTTCATTTTTGAAGGCAAATAATTCAGAAATTATTTAAATAAAATTATTCATGTTTTCTTATAATAAATTATATTTTTTAAATTGATTAGAGACATTTTTTTTTCATGTTTTATTGCATGGTGTTAGAAAGATTTTGTGTTCATTTCATTTATTCAAGAACAACATTTTTGATGCATTTAATGTGAGTCGAGTTACAATATGGGAGAATTAACAAAAACGTTATTTTAGTTTTCGAAAGCATTATTTTTTTTTTCAACTAATGTTCACCCAATACAAGGCCCAAAAGCTACTCAAGGTAGAGGTTTACTGTGTGAACTTCTATTAGCATAGGAAAGAAAAAAACATTAGGAGTACAGAGCTGAAGGAGACTTTAGAAGGAACTGGAAACCCAATCCTAAACAGGAAACAAGGGATAAAACTGTTCAAAAGATTGGGGAGGAGTGTGAATGCACATTTCCACGATTAGTTATTTAGAATTTATCAAACTTTTTTTTCTTTTTTTTATTTATAAGCAATAATCAGGATTTATATTTTCTACTACATTTTGCCTTTGTAAATAAAATGTATTTCTTGTTACATGGAATTTCCATTTGTGCTTATGTGGGTCTGGAATCTTTTTTAGCACTAAAAATGGGCCACAAGTATGAAAAGGTTGAGAAACACTGCTTTAGGCCACTATGGCCATGGGCTGGTAGACAAATAAACATTTTTTTAATATCAGATCTTTCTACTGAAATATGGGTATCCACTAAAAATAACATTTGAAATAATAAGAAATACTGACACACTTGTCATTTTCAAATTATGAGGCTACATCAGCTCAGTTCTTTGAATTGAACAGTCAGGCTACCTGCCTATATATTATGATTATAGTGGTGGAAGCCTGTGTAGACCCAATGACACTCTTCAGAAGAACTGAAGACGGAACTAGTGCATAGTGTGCTACAAGGTTTCCAAACAACCCTCCTCAGGTCTTGAATTCAAAGTTTTCCTCCTTCTAGACTGGTTGCCAACCAAGGCTATCTCTCCTGCTATTTACCTATAGCTGGGGGGGAGTGATGGATTCATACTTTTGAGTGAATAATGAACTCAACTGGAATACACAAACACTCAAACAATGCATTCACAGAATAAGATCAGAAAGAAGAATTTGCCTTTTTTGTATCAGAACAACTCAAAAACTGCACTGCAGTCCAGAAACAGCACAAAATCATACGATGCCTGAAATGCAGTCATCGCTTACCCTTTGTGCAGCTTTGCACTATCTGAAGTCTGATTGTTCCCAAAATTGGAAGAGGCATTGAAAGGTCAATATTCTTCCTCCAATGTCAGACTTGAAGTTACTGTATGCAATTGAATCAAATGTAAGCTAGAAACTTTCTTCGTTAGTGAGGTGGGGGGGGGAGAGAAAGGGTGTTGCATTAAAAGGTAACTATGTTGAAAAAACAAAACAAACTTGTAATAATAAAAAGAAATAAATTTACATCATTATTCAATCTGATTTCAAACATGTTTCAGGTCTTACTAATCAATCAGCCTTAATAATTTTAAAGAGTAATTTATTTCTTTTATCAGTTTCTTTATTTTGTCTGGTCTAAAATTTGTTTTACAAAAATTCATTTGTTAGAAACTTTATAGTAGTAAATATTCAAGTATTTTAACATTTAGCAATTGGCATCATTTATAAATATTACTTCCTTTTACTGTATATGGAATTCCCTCAAAATATAGTTTTTTATATATTAGTTCCATATATTTGAAATTGCAATAGCCTGTCTCTCAATTTCAGTCAAGATTGTTCTAGGTGTTCCTATAGAAGGATATGACTACACAAGCAAAAACTTCAAATTTAACATTGGCCAGACTAACATTTTGCTTGGTGAAAATAGTCACCTACAGAGTGCTAAAGGTTAATTGTAAACAAAACATTTTTTTCTTTTATTCATGTAAAGCTTGGTTTAAAGCAGAGTTGGTTTGTTGAATGATCCAAGGGGTAATGTCCTTTCTGAACATCTGCAGATGTGCTCAGACATTGTAAAACTTCTATGAAGAATCCAGATGCAAGAATCACATTGACTGGATATTTATTGAATAAAATCAAGTAAAAAAAAAAAAAAAAAAAAAATACATACAAATGTAGAGGAATAAATGCTACAATTCTTGGTTGCAGAGAAACAGAATTAAAAGTGAAAACTCTGAATAAAATTTTGTTTTCTAATTAATTCATCCATGAGAGACAAGAAAGAATTCTAGCTAACCATTCTCAATTGGTGGATGCACAAAATGATCGCTAATGATATATGGGGTGAAGTATTAAAATGAATCAAATTACATTTCTTCATATTGAGCCTGCATAAAAGAGACGTGAGTTAACCTATGGTTGTCAACAGAAAGGCTACATTACCCTCACATCCACTCACACACAATGCAGTACAAGACAAAGTTAAAAGAAGTGAGTGCCCCATACATATGTTGCAGATTTGAATAAACCTATATCGAAAAAAGTGTTTAAATGTAAACACACATTTTTATTTTCATATCTGTCTATATTTCTGAGATGAGGTATTGTAACTATTTACACTATTTACATTGTTCAGAATGTTATCCTCATCTTTGTTGTCATATTCACAATGTTTCATCTATTATATGCTCCAGCATCCATCAGGTGATTAGAATTTTAAACCCTTTATTTTGTCCACAGGGGCAAATTGTTCTAGTCCCACATGCCATGCCTCATCCAGATATATCTTTTATTTCCTTTAACTCAACTCTCCAAGTTCTTGTTCATCACCACCCTGCTATGGCCAGGGATTGAACTCACAACAATTTGGGTTAAGTCACTGGATTACTTCAACCAATGTTTTATCCACTGGGTCATGTGTCTTTGAGAACATCAGCATATGAATTTATTTTTGTGTTTTTTACAACTAAATTTTCTTAGCATCTATGAGTGTTAAAGTTTTTTTTTGTAGTTGTCTGTTAAGAGGAAAAGAAATGTGATTTCTTCATGTGCATATGTAAGAAAGAAGAGGTAAGAGAGAAAGTGAGGAGGATCGTATATGTGTCATGTAGCTTGATGCGGGAATTTATTTTAAGCTGAGCATCATTAACTGTTGCCATCTGTCTCTCCTTCCTAGTTTGTCTGTCTAGAAACTTTGCTTAAAAACCCTTCAAAAGGATCATGAAGCATGTTTTTTTTTTTTATTGTTGGCAAGAATGCAACCCATGGGTTGAAAAATGTTAAATAGTTATTTTCAAAGCATTAATTTATTAACTAGAAGAATGTGTAATCCTCCAACTCAGAATCCATTTTTTGGTCATTTGGTGTTTGACCGTCTTGGTGTGTATTTCTATCTTCATTTCACACATGCATGAGACAAAAGCACTTTTGGAATTATCTTAGTCACCAGAGATTAACTCTAGCCTCCTCTCGAAGAAAAGGCACTACCTGGGGTGGTATCTAGGACTACACAATTTTGTGTCTCAGGGCCAAAAGGCCAAGAAGCCAGAAGAAAGAGAGAAATGTTAGCAGTTCCTGGTTGAAATGGAAAGATGGTTGCTATGGTTACAACCTATGAAAGAACAGGGTATCTATGTTAGGAAACCAAGGGCAGATAATTCAAATATTTAATCTTCACCATGAAATCAAACAAAGTGAAAGATGTGTATTACAGTGCATTGTTTTGATTTTTTTTTTTTTTACTGTACCCTTGGCAGGCATAAAGAGAGTAGCTTCCAAAACAGCACATTTTCCTTAAACCAGCCAAAACCTTTCTTCATCTGATCCCCAAAAACCAATGAAGCTATTAATCTCACAATGCCCAATTCCTCCTGACACCTGATTGACTTTCCAATGTAAATCATAAGACATAGAACCAAAAAGAATTTATAATAAATACAAAAGAAAGCTAATTTATAAAGAACAGATCTATCATAAGTTAAAAATAGGAAACATGGCTTCTTTCCATGATTCTGTACCTGTGGAGTGTGTCTTGCATTTTCATAGAGAAGAACAACATTTCGAATGAGTTCCAAGGGTACTTTGGTCAGGATGCCACTTGTATGCAACCGATACAAATATTGGCGCACTGTTTCAGTTGGAAGTCTTTCTCCACAGTCTGCATCATGCTTGACAATTTCTTCCTCTGCAAAACATATTGAATTTTTAAAACAAGAAATGATGACTAAATTCACTTCTGTTACATTCAAACCATTCTTTTAATTATTGTCATTTATTTTATTTCTGAAGGAATATTACAAAATGGAAGAGTTTATATTATTTACATTGAAGGTACAATTAACAAACCTATTTTATTTATTGCTATTTAAGAAGACTCATAGTGTAAATACATTTTCTCTTTTCTTTCAGATTCTTAGACATTTCTGTCCACAATAAAATATTATGTTTAAAATCATATCCAGTATGAAAACATTTTAAACATTTTTTCTAATTACTGCTTTATAGTAGGTATCTTCTAATATTTGCTGAAAAATGTACATACTTGATGAAAAAAGGCCAAAAACTTAATAAAAATAAATTTTTATTGTCAAAATCTTTGTAATATTAAGAGAAGAAAGACAAGTATTTTTTGATGTAAAAATTATTTATTTTAATCCTTTTTAGAACTTCCAGAAATTAATATGGGAAATATGAACATTTTTTTTTTTTTTTTTTTTTCAGTGAAAAGTACACTGTTTGGAAATTCTTGCAAAAATCAGATAACTGTCAGGCCTTAATGAAACTTTCAGGGTTCAGGGATTTTCACAAATTAATGAAATTATTTTAGAAACTTTTTTTTTTATACACATCTGTTAATTAAATAAGTAGGGTGTTGATGGTGAGGGGATACCCATCACTATCACCCCACTTATTTAATTTTATCAAATTTCAAGAAATTCTTTTTTGTAGCGTTTAATGTTTATAATGACAAATCCTTGGAGAAATTTAACATTTTATGAAAGAGAACTCCCAATTGCAGAAAATCTGCTCTGAATCATAAACTAAAAAAATGCAATAAACTCAAGACTTTATTTAAATTGCTTTTATATATAAAATATATTATGGACACTATTGTATTATGAAAAAATCTTTTCCATAAACAATGAATCTTTACAATAATTGTTTCCATTTTTTTTAAATTTTAATTAGAATAATTTATAAACTTTTAAATTCTGTATTAATTTGTACTGGTCAAGTGATATTGTTCTTAATAAAAACTGTATTTACTAATCATAAATGGGAAAGCTTATTTCAATTCATCCATGCCTAGTATTTTGGCAAGAATTTTGAATATTTTGTGTGCATAAATGTGCCGATTTTTGACCGTACAAGATATTATCAGAAAATAAGAGCAGTAACTATAATAAATTTAGAATTTATTGAGAATTTTCTAACATTGCCCCAACAAGCGCCTTCATAAATAATACCTTAAAGCCAAAGTACCAAAAATTCAATAAAAATACTAGAATGCTTAAATTTTAAAGATTACTGGGTAGTTAATAAAAAATATTTAAAAAAAAATGGTTTACATTCATCATGTAATATTATAACAATTATGTTCTCTTTAGATAAATTTCCTATAGTCAGTATTGTCAATAAAAAAAAGCCCTCTCATATAAAAAAAAAAAACTCAGTGTTAAAAAAAATGCTTTTCTGCAATATTTTAAACTAAAAGTAAGTAATATTTGTTTCAATTCAGATTAATTTTTCTCAACATTTCAGAAAAGTATATTTTATCCCTTAAAGAATTACGTTGTGTTGACAGATTTGGCAATATGGACGATTTTAGCATTTAGCAAAAAAACGCTAAAATAGTCCATATTGATAAATCTGTCAACATAATCAAAAAAAAAAAAAAAAAAAAAAAAAATGAATTCCAACCAACGGAAATTCAATTTGAAATCCAGCAAAGTATTTTGCTTATCGCAAATATTAAATTTAATGTAATAACTTGAAATTAAAACTAAAATAAAAGCTTTAAGAAAGATTTTTTCACTTTTAAAATGCATTTTAAAACTTAGATACCGCTTTTTGTTTGGAGGTACCTACGTTAAAGCAATTCAAGATTTTATAAGTTATCTCCCTTGAATAACATGATTGACTTCCAAGACAACTTTTTAAAATTACTTTCAGTTTTTATTATATTTTTTTAAATTAATTTTTATGCAATACAATGCCCGAGAGCCACTCAAGATATAGGGTTACCGTGTGGTGTTGTATTAGCTTAAGAAAGTCAAGAAGTAAAGTTCTTGATGGTTATGCAGGAAAGATAAACAGCTTATTCTAAATTTGCAGAGATCAAGATTTAATTAGTGAATAAAATTTCAGTTTTCAGACAGGGATGTCAGAAATGTAGAGTTGAAGTAAACTTTAGAAGGAACTGGAAACCCAATCCTAAACAGGGATGACCCTTTACTCCTGTTCAAAAGACTGGGAAAGAGTGTAAACTGGGTGATAGGCAAACCTATCTACTCCTATTAATGAAGGAATGGTTATATTATTTAGATTTAAAACTCTTTGAAACACATTCGCAGTAGATAAAAGCAAAGTTTGTAGACTTAGATATAATGTCAGTGTGTTAAAAAAATTATTTTTTTTAACACACTGACATTATATCTAAGTCTACAAAAATGATCTAAAAAAGAATTTTTAAAAAAGCTTATTTTTCTAAATGAAAAAATAAAAAAGGAAACTGCAAAAGATTCTCAAAAAAAAAAAAAAAAAATGTAGCACTCCAAAAACAGAAAAAAAAAAGAAAAAAGAAACCAGAAGAATATGTGAATTCAACGCACCAAGAACAGAGAATCCATCACAAGCTTTCATTCGATATTTCTGATTATTATTAATATCTGTAAAGAGAAAACAAAATCTGCTTTCAGAAAATTAAGACATTTGCAAATAAGCGTGAAATGGATAGTGTAGAAGACAACTGGTTGTTGTTTCTGAAAAGTTAGATTAGACATGAGACAATTTGAAAATATAAGAGAATGGCAATTGTGTTAAGAAGAGATTATTATTATTATTATTATAAGCCCCTTTTCATTACAACTTCAGTGATCGTTCAGGGAACCAATCTTTCAGCATGATGTGGTTGTAAGTCAACAGAAAGTGAGAGAAATGGTAAAAAGACAAAAATTGCTAAAAATTACAAAAGACAGGTAGTTGTGGAGAGCTGTGATTGCCAACATCTAAAAGGTACACAACATATAGACAATTTCAAGCTCAGGAAAAAGATTCTGACAGACCAGCAGCAAAATTTGTATACATCTTTTATATGTAAAATATCATTGCTAATTAGCTGTACATGTGAAGATGATATATGCATTTGTCACTTGTGCAACAAAAGAAATAATTTTAAGAGAAGGGACGCCAAAAGACCAACTAAATCTGTGATAACTTTAATGGCAGAATTTGTGACAATGTTCTCTGCTCGTCCGTCATTCACTGCACCTGTGTTGACATCCAATATTGGCAATATTTGCATGTACACCTGACTTCACTATGCTCACAGATTTGGCCACTTGGCCATGTTCATATTCAACAAAAAATAATAACGACAGTTGTTTTTAAAGACACTGGTTGAGGGTTACCAATATGATTTCTCACTTAACAGTGGGATCCTTCTTCCAGCTTCGACAAGTGGACTGTTATCTTACTAACTTTTGGCTACAGAAAAAGACCCTTATATTCACTGCCTGTTGCTTTGGTCACTGCCGATTCCTCACTGCCTGGCCACTGGGTAGCTACTAACTCACTGACTGCTGGACCTCTTTCTCCTGATTTCCTGCTTATATGGATAATGGCTGGGGTCCCACCCTCCTAACCATCCACTTGTTTTCCAGAAGTTTGAGACCACCGCAAAGCCACATCAGATATTCAAAGGACTATTTTTACAACTATCTAAAATCATTAATAAAATTTTTATGTTTCCCAATTTAAAGGCAGCTATAGACATAAATCCTCAAAACACTGACACTTAAGTTTACTTAAAGATGTACTGGAGACAAAATTCCTACAAAACTCAGAAAACTAAGTGAACTTAAAAGAAAAGAAACTTATCTTATCTTCTAAAGATCTATGAGAAATTGTATTGATACAAAAGAGATTTTATTATAATTTTAGTGATTTGGTCCGTGGCTAAAAAGGAAAAACATAAAAGTTTACTGTCAAGAAGTTAGAAATACATGAAAAATAACTCTAGAGTTGCTGGATTTTTCTGGTATAGTTTACATATCAGGTCAGTGAGGGTAGTTAAACAAACTGCTTTGAAACAGATTTCTGCAACAGCTGACTTTGCCAGCCAACTCACTTCATTTTGGTACCAACCAATGAATACAAATACTCAGATAAAAGACCTCCACTTGTAAGATCATCTGACCATATCAAAGAGTTCTTTGAAATCTCTTATGCAAATGACCCAGAACTCTGAGAAGTTTCTTTCATAAAAATAGATTCTCTGAATGGTGTTGACAATTGAAATTATCCTTATCGCATTCACTCACTTCTTTGACTGTATCTTCCCATTCTCTCCCTTATCCCTTCCAATCTCCATTGCTCATTCATGTTTTTATCTAAATGTTATACAAACATTGGATTAATTACATGTGAAAAAAAATACAAATATTTTCTATTGCTTCCTTTATTTTTATTTAAAATTTATTTTATTTAAAGAATTTTCATTATTTTTTTATGCATTTTCATCTATGCTTACTTTTCAAGCTTTTATTGTCTCTTGATATTGAACCAGCCTTTTCCTTTTGAAACCATCACTTCCCCTTTCTTTATAGATATGTACATATTTTTTCCTTTTCTTTGGTTTTCTTTTCATTTCTTCCTTTTTTAACCTCTCTTCTCTTCCTCATTTTACTCAATTCCTTTGCACTTACTTATTTTTATGTTGGCTTCTCAGTCAGAAAACATAACTGATTCCAATTCAAAGAAACAAAGGATCAGGCAGATACTACACTTTGATCCTAGATAGAAATGTGTAACAGTTATAGATAAAAACAAGCAGAACAATAGTACCAATTACCTGAAATATCAGATTCATTCTCTGATTCTGACAAAGGTTTCTGAAGCAAAGTCGGTTCAAACTTTATATTCTTCACATGACGCAGACGTCGTTGGATTTCTTTCTGAAGTCTCTAAAAAAAAAAAAAAAAAAAATAACATCCCAAATTATAAAGTCAAGAAAAATTTACCAAAACTTTGTTGACTTTATGCTGATTAAAAATTCAGAAATTGTCAAGTTTTAGTTGGAATTTTTTTTAATCAAGTAACTAATAATAAATTATTTCACAACCTTTGACCTCAGACAAAATGGCTTTAAATATCCTCCATTAATTAAATTAATTCATAGACTTTACTTCATTTGGATATGTGAACTTAAAAATATTAGATAAAAATGACAAAGTGGCTCAAGAAATTTCCAGTTCTTGGTTATAGAGAATTCAAAATGTCTCTTGTGAAAACATTTTTGTTAATTTTAAATTTTCAGTTTAATCTATGCTAGAAAGAAGAAAGAAAGAAAGAAAAAAGAAGAAAGAAAGAAAAAAGAAGAAAGAAAGAAACAAAGAAAGAACAAAGAAGAAATAAAAAGAAGAAAGAAAGAAAAAAGAAGAAAGAAAGAAAAAAGAAGAAAGAAAGAAAAAAGAAGAAAGAAAAAAAAAAGAAAAAGAAAGAAAAAAGAAGAAAGAAAGAAAAAAGAAGAAAGAAAGAAAAAAGAAAGAAAGAAAAAGAAGAAAGAAAGAAAAAGAAGAAGAAAGAAAAAAAGAAGAAGAAAGAAAAAGAAGAAGAAAGAAAAAGAAGAAGAAAGAAAAAGAAGAAGAAAGAAAAAGAAGAAGAAAGAAAAAGAAGAAGAAAGAAAAAAGAAGAAGAAAGAAAAAGAAGAAAGAAAAAAAGAAGAAAGAAAAAAGAAGAAAAAAAAGAAGAAAGAAAAAGAAAAAGAAAAAAAGAAAGAAAAAAGAAAAAAAAAAGAAAGAAGAAAAAAGAAGAAAGAAAAAAGAAGAAAGAAAAAAAGAAGAAAGAAAAAAAGAAAAAGAAAAAAAGAAAAAAAGAAAAAAAGAAAAAGAAAAAAGAAAAAAAGAAGAAAAAGAAAAAAAAAAGAAAAAAAAAAGAAAAAAAGAAGAAAAAGAAAAAAGAAAGAAAAAAGTAGAAAAAGAAAAAAGAATTAAGGGAGGAAAGAGAGAGGAAAAGAAAGAAAAAAGAAAGGAAAAAAAGAGAGAAAAAGAAAGAAAGAATAAAAGGAAAAACAATCTCCTCATTTCTGCCTATGGATAGTTTATATCTTTATCAAAACATACAAGAAAACTATATTTTACAAGCTGATGAGAGTATCAATATACATACTTTCGGTATTCCAGTTCCAATGGCTATATGAGGCCTGCGAGCAGATCTGATGGTGAGACGAGATATTTGTCTTTTAGTGATGAAAAATAACATTATAAACACCTGAAAAAGAATAAAATATTGATAATTAACTCTTCCAATTTGGAAAATGACAACAAACATTGACAGATGGATTTTTTTTTTGACTAAGAATCTCATCTTGACCATTTTCTATGGATTTTATTAGTGAATAACTTAATCCTTAAATAACTGCCTGAAACAGGACTGAAAATTAAGGGTTGTCCTGTTGTTTTGGGGATGGCAAAATATTAGTTTGGAATGACTGGTTTGGTTCTAGGGGGAACAGTCCAAAATTTTGAATTGAAATTAGATTATTCTAAAAGCAACCCATTTCTTAAAAAAAAATAATTCTTTTAATCAATAGTGGCATAAATAAATGGAACACACAAACATACAAAACTTCAAGGGATTCTTTTTAAAAGTAGTGAATAAAAACTGAAGATTAGTAGACTTTAATTTACATCCATACATATAATGGATATTAATAATATTACATGTCAGGTAAGTTACCAGATAATGGGTGAGATATGAGAGAAAATAATATTCTCCCAGTTTGCATTTACCCCCTTTATGAGTATTATTATATCCAGGATATAACAACACTTTAATTCACGGATAGAATGGAATGGCTAAAAGAAAAGGAATGACAAACATGCTTTGTTCTCAGAGAGAGTTTTATGCCACTAAGTCATACACAAAATTATATATACATATTTACACATGTCCCCACACAAAGAGACTATAATATGTATGCAACAACAAGCAGAGTGAAAAGAGAACAAAAAGATAGGGTCTTGCTTATAATAATTTCCAAGGGAAATTGGAGCTGCTGGAAATATATCTGTCCTTCTGGAGAAACCATATTTAGGATTCCAGATTCAAGCAAACTGGATCGTTTATCAGAACAATTTCTATGATAGTATTTATAGAAAAGGCACAGAGAAGCTACATTATGGTGGTGTGAAAGAAACTGAAGCCGAGATGACAGGTTAGGACCAATAACATTCCAGATTCTTCTTTGAATTTGATCAAGAACATCTATACAAATGTATAGCAGGAGCACCAGACAATATTCAAAGTAAAGACAAATGATAGACATAACTATGTAAGAAAAATTGTCTCACACAATATAGTGAATCAACTGCAGATAATTGATTCAATATACTCTTTCCACTTCATGTCAGCTGAAAATGTTAGTCCAAAAAGGCGCAATGAGTGACTCTCCTGGAGGTTAGCATCAGCCATGCTGATGGAAGGTAAAAAGGGTTCTCTCAGATGAATAAAAGAGAGCAGTTTTGTTTTTAAGGCATTAAAATTAACAAGCCACTCCTTGCCCCATTTAATAACACTATGTAGGTCATTTTTGAGATCAGCTTTATTTAATGGAATGTTTCCCTGTGTGTTACCATCAAGGAAGAATAAGATCAATGTTGACAAATGACAAACAGAACAAAACATAAAAAGATTAAGGAGTATATTTTGACAAATTGGTCTACAAATTATAAAACCTAATTAATTGCATGTTGTTTGGTTCAAACTAATTTTTTTTTTTTTAGGACACCTAGCCTCTGACCTTCTTCAGAAGTCCATTATATTTTAAAATGCCAAGCCTTCCTCTGACAGAGTAGTAAGCATCCATTTATCTCACAAGATTTTGGTAGCACCCTGTTTAGAATCTGGAATGAAGATCTGGGATTGCTCCCTCTGCATTATCTTCTGACTTCTTAACCAGTTGGGCTGGGGCAAGAAGAAATATTTTGTCATTGTTGGGGGTCTGTACTTTTAACATTGGCAGAAATTAATTCTTTTACAATATGCACTTCCATTCCAATACTCATCACATCCAGTACCTGCTGGTGTGTGTTTTGGAGAGTGACTTCTCTGGACTTCTGTGCCATACATATGACTTTTCAATGAACCTACTGAATTAGGAATCTCTTGTTATTTCCTGAATATGAAATACTAAATGATACTATTGACATCTATACTTAGTCTACTAATCAAGTTATCTGTGCACAATATGTAGATTTCTTGAACCTATTTAATTTTTTTCTTACTTGATTTCATAAAGGTTGCTGAAGCCGACCAAAGTACAATGATTAACCATTTAGCATTCGCATGACATCTCTCTCTCTCATATATATATATATATATATATATATATATATAGATAGATAGATAGATAGATATGAAGAAATATAGTTTTAAATTGAGCTATATTTATGGAATAAAGTGCTCAATATCAGAGAGCGCATCTAAATATAAAAGTCAGACAGCCTGATGATTGAGTCTAGCATGAAACAGCCTGTCACCTCTGAGTGTTGACTTCAATGTTCACACACACACATATATATATATATATATATATATATATATATATATATATATATATATTTTAAAAATGCAGGAAAGCATTCTTCTTAAAGGATCCTTTTCAACCAACATTTTCAGAAGAATACATTGGTAAATATTAATTGACAAAATGACAACAATTCATACTAGGAGAAAAAAAGGAACAATGACTAAAGTAAAAATTTATTAATGAAAATGAAATCACTAGACTCCATTTTGATGTGATTCTTGATTTCTTGTCATCAAAAAAAGATTGTAAAACGAATCAAACAAAGAAGAGATGACAGAAGTAGCATGTGGTCAAAGTCTCACAGTTTGTGTGACTTCTCTTGTTATTTGTGATGATGTTGTCATAATTTATGGTAGAGTATACATGGAGGAGGGAGGAGGAGGTTATAGAGGATTAAGCATTGAGAGTTTGGCAGGTTTGTGCATCTTGAATGCTAAAGGGTTAAAACACTTGATTTAACAAATTTCAGATGTGACTGATATTTAAGAGATAAGAAGTGAATACCAGTTTTCTTCATTAAACTGATTTATTAAATTTATACAACAAATTACACCAAGTAAAATGCGAGATTTCTGTCTATTGACCAATCCTTGCTTTTGGTTGCTTTTTAATAACTATTTCCTCTATTCACGTACAATGAAAGAAATTTTGTATCAGAAAATTGGAAGGGGAATGGCATTGCGTTATACATGACACATATTTATTTGTATCAATGATATTAGAAATTCTTATGTGACAAACAGTCAATGCACTTACTAGGATCGAAAAGGCTATCATGTTTCTCATGCTTAGTCCACCATTTTCAATTTGGCAAAAGTGGATGCACAGACTGACATGCCTGATATAATATATATTGATAGACAGCCATGCAAATTATATATAAAGGTTACAAATTTGTCAATGGGTAGAAGGACTTTTGACTGCTGTTAAGGTAGCTACATAAGAACTCCAAACCTAGCCATGTGGCACATCACACAGGCACACACTCATTTTCTAACAGCAAAACCAATAAATGCTTTATTTTTCAGTATATTTTCTCTTTTGGAATTAAATTATTCTTTATAAAAGGATCAACCTAATATAAACTTAGTTTGATGAAATTCTAAATGATGAAACACATCACACAAAAACCTCCAAATATTGCTCCATTCCTTTTTAAGGATTGTTCTGTGTATATTTACACAACTGTTTTTTTATTTAATTATTTACACAACTGTTTTTTTATTCCAATGTTCTCATGTTTCAGGTGATGTCATATAAATGGTCAACCTGAAATTTTTATGTGTTTTTAAAAAAAAACAAAAATACTTCAATATACCATCCCCCTATTGAGAAAGATACTTTATTTAATGTTGGTTATTTTATTACAACACCCTCCAAATTTTGGGTCTTTCTTGGCACTGTGTCCTATAGAAATTCAAAAACAGTTGCAAAAATATACAAAGAACAATCTTTGAAAAGGAATGTAACAACATTCAAAAGTACTTGGGGAGAAATAATATAAAATAAAAATAAATGTGAACTTTGTCAAATTTAGCATAACACAAAACATTTTGAAATTTGAAAAATTAAATAAAAAAGTTGATAGACAGAACTTTTCC